TCAAGCCTCTTAGGCTAAGAATTCAGCTTTGTTGTGTAACTCGTCCTGCGCTATTTGTACATCTGATTGTACGTCAGATTTTGGGGCTCTTTTGACGTAAGCCAGTAAGTAACCACTGAGCAATCATCACAATGACCTGGCGACCACAACACCTGAACATTAGCTGTGAGTTTTGTGCATATCCTGCCGTGTGACATGCTATACATCTTAAGCTGTTTTAAACAGCGTTTTAACCCTATTAAGCCTACTGTACATGCACATTTCTGATTTTTATAAAGTAAATGTAAGAATAACTGTGATATTGTTAGTAATATTTCCAGATGAACACTTACTGGACTGAAGCAGCTCAGCTTTACTTGATTCTCCATCAATCATTTTTTAGAGTCTCAAATCTGATCCTCAGGATCTTTTGAGGAGCGTTTATTTGTTCATCTCTCAATCATCACTGGATTGTATTGCATTATATGTTTGGATCATTTCAATCTCATCTTACTAACACACATTATTGAAGATATAGAGTGACGACTGATATTTATATCATTTTATGTAAGGATCATCATATAAACATCAGCATCTGCACCAAATTGCATATTTTTGCTCAGTTTGAACTGTTTTTCTCCATATTCTCACTAGACTGTGAGCCTGATGGATCAAATATGATACTAAAAAAACACATATGCAAACTTAAAGTGTTTATTAAAGTGTTACTATTTAAAGTGTCAGTCTTTAAAGGGTTAAAATCACACTGCAGGACCATTTAAATTAACTATTTAAAAGTGAAAAATGTGAATAAACGTTGTATAAAACTTTAAAGAAACAGTGACCAGTACATGACCCAAGATATTCACATTAACCTATATGCTTATATACATTTTTACCTAAAATCTTGAAGTTGATTGAAAAAGCTCCTGGATCTGTTATGCATCAACTTTCCTTTTGCAGACGCACATGGAGCAGCACACAGGAACGTCTTTGTGTGAACATTTCATCTGTGTCTATTCAGGTGTTTTTAGGTTCTTGTTTTCTCAAGCACCTCTCTTGAAGAGTGTGTGTGCGTGTTTCAGCATGCTGCTTTGTTAAGTGTGTTTACACTGACCAACTGCTTTTGTCAGCTGGACACAGAGTAATACAAAAGAATGAGGTATTCAGAGAGAAAGAGAAAAGATGTATGTGGAGAAAGTGTGTGTGTGTGTGTGTGTGTGTGGCAGCTATTGGGTTGTTACTGTTCACAACTTGTGTGAGAAAATCTTGAGTTCTCGCCATATTCATCCGCCATGGATGGGCATTTGACTGGTCCTCACTAGTTAAAAAGGCTTATAAATCAGCCAGAAAATGTTTTTGATGTAAATCTAGTGTTCTGCAGATGTTTCTGTGATGGGTAAGTTTAGGGGTAGGGTTTGGGTTAGCTGATAGAAAATATCATTAACCTGAAAATCAGTGGAAGTCTATGCAATGTCCTCACTGAGATAGCAAAACAAACGTGTGTGTGTGTGTGTGTGTGTGTGTGTGTGTGTGTGTGTGTGTGTGTGTGTGTGTGTGTGTGTGTACTGGTTTGTGTGTGTGGGTGTGTGTGTGTGTGTGTGTGTGTGTGTGTGTGTGTGTGTGTGTGTGTGTGAGAGAGAGAGAGCGCTACCCCCTGATTTCCCACTGAGCTTGTAAGCACTCAGCTTCTCCTGGAAATAAGATCCGATGGAGCTGTTTGTGTGTGTGTGGGTGTGAGTGTGAGTGTGAGTGTGTGAGTGTGTGAGTGTGTGCGTGTGTGTGTGAGTGTGTGCGTGTGTGTGTGTGTGTGTGTGTGCGTGTGTGAGTGTGTGCGGTCTGACCCATGTGTGCCCCTCTTTGACAGTGGCCCTATTAACGAGGAAGTGAATGTGGCCTAAGGAAAGGCAGTAAAGCATTAGCTCTCTGTCTCTCAGCTTGAGCTCTAGTAGATGCTCTGCTTCATTACAGGAGCTCTTCTGAACTCTTTAACTGGTACGTTTCAACTATATATCAGCTCTGTGTTGTCCTTCTGCTCTCCTAGCTAGTAAAATCCTCCTTTGGGTTGATCTCACAAATCCTTTTGAATATTTTTGTTTTTGTCTGCTTAGATTTGTTTATGTATAATTCTTTAAAGGAATAGTTCACTCAAATTTTAACTTCAAACCGTTGCTTCTGGTCCATAATAACGCTTCCTCCAGTGAAAAAGTGGTGTGGTCTGGTCGGAATCAGGAGAGAAATCTGCACAGTCCAAAGCAGCTCTAAACAAATATGTGGATTTTTGGTGAATTTTGATGTGAGAGACAACAGGAGATGGACTTTTTCACTGGAGGAAGCGTTATTATAGATTATGGATTTGCCAGAAGCAACGGTTAAGTTCACTTGTAGGATAATTGCTAAAGAAAAACAAGTTGTGTACTTAAAGTTTACTGCTGTTACATTTAAATGCACTTAAAAGTATACTTTTATTAATTAAAAAGTTGATTTAGTCCCAAGTATTGAAATAGTAGTACACGTACAGTACAAGTACAGTATACTCTACATTGATATTAGTATACTACACATACTTGAACTTTACTTAACTTCACTTAATTAAGTGAACTTTTTTGTAGGCTTTCTTGAACAGCATGAACATTTTGCTAAATATCTTCACCGTTAATTTACGATTTAGAATTTTTTAAATTTTTATTTTACTTAAATTTTTGTTTTAGTTCATTTTAGTTTTGTGTGTTTTTGTCATTTTTATTATTATTATTATTTATTATTTTTTGTTAGTAGTTTTTATTATTTTTATTTCAGTTTTAGTTTTAGTTCAGTTAGTACATCAAGTTAAACCAAAATGAAAATAATAAATGTTAAAAAAGGAAACTAGCTAAAAAAAAAAATTTTTTTTATTATTTTAGATAACATTTATTTTGTTTGAAGTAACACAGATGCTTTTTTATGGTTTTAGTTTTAATTATTTTACTCTATTCTACTCTTTATATCTTTGTTCTTAACAATCATAAATTCAGTTGTTTTTAAACCATTCAAAACTCAGCTTGCTTATAAATATTCGTCAGCATTGATGTAGCCTAATTAAACGTATGTATATATGTAAGTATCTTAACATCGTAACTTTTGCCGTAAGCACCCAAACACGAATTAATCAAACCACAAAGAACACGAGTATGAGCACTAAAGCTCTAGAATAATCAGAGCAGAAGTTTTCCTGAGCAAACACACTCAAACGTGCTGTAAATATTTAGGGCTGGTTTGTGGAGAGCCGCAGTGTTTGCTGTGCATTAATGGGACGGTGTTTAGTCATTAATGGCGGTGTGTGCGGTGGTCTGTGAGGTGAAATGACACCTCGATGACCCTGTGCCTCTTTAATTTCACCCCCATTACTGTCTGCAGCTGTCTCTGCCTGTCTTTAGTGTCCTGTAACATCTCTCCCTCTGTGGGTGCTTCCTATCAAGACAGGAAGAGGAAAAAAGCAAGAGAAAATGAGCAGTGTTTCCTGATGTCACTGGCATCGAGAACGAACTCGTGGAAGATCTTGAGACGTGCATCTGTGCTCTAGCGCTCTATAGAAGCTGATATAGGTCTGATTTATGATGCCATATGTTTCTATCCTGATGTCCCGTTCTGTCTGTGGTTTGGGGATTGCAAGGAATTTATCGATTCTGGTTACATTTCCACTTAACGATTCTGGTTTATTAACCCCTTAAAGCCTGTCATGTTAAATAATAGTCTGACATTTAAATTTCAAAAACAGTTTATTGAACTTGTAGAGAGAGAAAAAAATGCATGTGTTTTTGTTTTGTATTATATTTGATGCATCAAGCTTTTATGGCTCATATAGTCTGATACAGTGAGAATGTGGAGGAAAAAAACTGCACAATTTTATTCAGAGGCCCAAAACAATATGCAATTTGCTGCAGATGCTGATATTTATGTGGCCAATAAGTAAAATGAATTTCTGCTGCTTGTAATGCAAATCATTGAAATCTTTATAACAGTACAGCAGATACTTACATTTAAAAATGATATAAATATCAGTCGTCGCTCTATATCTCCATTAATATGTCTCAGTAAGATGAGATTGAAATGCTCCAAACATATAATGCAGTGATTGAGAGCTGAAGAAATAAAGGCTCCTCAGAAGATGTGAGATGTTCTGGAGGCTTGTGAAGATCATTCCTCCGCTGAGGAACAGTGAAAGTAAAGCTTCTGGAAACAAACGCTCCTCAAAAGATCCTGAGGATCAGATTTGAGACTCTAAAACATGATTGATGGAGAATCAAGTAAAGCTGAGCTGCTTCAGTCCAGTAAGTGTTCATCTGGAGATATTACTGCAGTTATTCTGACGCTTACTTTATGAAAGTCAGTAAAGGTGGACGTTTGTACAATTAGACTAACAGATCTTTTACTTGATAAAAAAAAAGTCATTAATCAGACGACAGAAGGCATGGAGTAGATTGTGTGTGAAACAGGTTTAACAGCAAAGTTTTGTTCATTTAGAGGCCTTAGAAATGTGTATATCAAATGATACGGTAGCTTTATAGAGTTAAAGGTTCTGGAAATAATTTAGAAGAAAGAATTGAAATCTACAGTATTAATTCTTTCAAGTTTGTAATTTTTGTCCTGACAAACTTTCCTTTTTTATTTTAAAAATGGAACTGGTTCTAAATAACAAAGGTGTTTTGTTTTGTTTTGTTTTTGTTTTTTATTCCCAACCCTAGTGGTTTGTCAGTTTTTCATTCCTTAAAATGTGTGTCACTTTGAGTCATCTTCTTCAGGGCTCTTGTCTTGCTCTGACTCTGTAAACATTGACCTCTGTCTGTCTCTCCCTCTGGAGATTTATCTGAGTGTCTCCAGGTTCACCATTATTTCCATATGGTAACTAATGTATCACTCTCTGTCACAGGTTGACCAAAAACACACACACACACACACACACACACACACACACACGCACATTGCCATGCTTGTCAAAGTGAGATGCCATAACTTAAGTCTCTCTCTCCCGCTCCCTGTAGGCATGTCCAGGTGCTCCAGTAAGCTCCAGGGCTGAACAGTGTGCAGTGTTCAACAATCAAGAGTTTATGGGACGCGTGTATGACTGGGAGCCTTTCACAGAAGGTTAGAAACGGAAATTGAAGGGGTGTAAAGGGAAAAAAGAAGCAATAACAGAGGTGTGGTGGAATATTACCCTGTTACTTACCTCTCTGCCATTGTGGAGCAGCATTTGGAGTTTATTGTCTAATAACCGAGTGTACTGGACATCTGCTAACACGATATTTTCCATTGACCTCTTTTCACTTAGTTTTTCATGATCAGACTGCATGCATTAGTTTGCAGTTTGGTTTTTATCTGTTTATTAAACATATGAGCCTGTTCCAAAAGATAGTGTGCTGCGTATTTAGAAAACCTTTTAAGGCATCGTACTGTATATAGCTGAAAAGTCTGGGGTTGGTAAGATTTTTTAATGTGTTTGAAAGAAGTCTCTTCTGCTCACCGAGGCGGTTTAATCAAAAATACAGTAAATATCGTGAAATATTTTTACAATTTAAAATAACTGTTTTCTATGTGAATATCTGTTAAACTGTAATGTATTTCTGTGATGCGCAGCTGAATTTTCAGCATCATTACTCCAGTCTTCAGTGTCACATGATCTTCAGAAATCATTCTAATATGCTGATTTGCTGCTCGAGAAACATTTCTGATTATTATCAATGTTGAAAACAGTTGTGCTGCACAATATTTGTGTGGAAACCAGGATTTTTTTTTTTTTTTTGGATTCTTTGAATATAATTTATTTTAAATAGAAATATTTTGTATCATTAAAAATGTCTTTACTGTCACTTTTGATCAATTTAATGCATCCTTTCTGAATAAAAGTATTAATTTCTTCCCAAAGAGGAAACCCCAAACATTTAAAAGGTAGTGTAGCTGTGCTTCAGACACAAAGTCTGTCCCAATAATACCTTCTTTTTTTTAATTTTTTTATTTTTTTGTTACAAAAGCAGTCTTGTGGTTTGCATACAAAGAAAAAAACAATGATCCAAGATGGCTTGGAAGTTGAGAAAAATGTTGTTTATAAATATTAACTATTTACATTTTTATTCCATATTGCAAAAAAATTAATCATTTAAATATGTTTGATGAGTATTTTCAGCTCAGCTCAACAAGTTATGCCATTTTTTTAATTCATTCTGCAGATTTCCCTTCACGATCAGCGTAGAAAATGTGAAAGATGTGCACAGATTCCTTTTAGACCGGCACAGCCTTGAATGGTTAGTGATTCTAAGAAAGCTCAGAACTGCAGATAAGCAAGAATAAAGGCATTTTTGAGAGGCTGTAAATGACCTGAGCCATAAGAAGACAAAGTAGATGTAGAATGAATGAAGAGAGGAGGAGGGAGACCGCAGGGGTCATGGGCATTACTGTACAAGCAAAGAGTCTTTGTGAGGATAGAGAAGAGAAGTTAAAGAGGAACACAGAGTTAAAAACAGGAATGTGTGACGGGCCGTTATAAAAGTCAAAGAGACCAAACACACGTACCAGACCACCACTATAAATCAACAATACAGAGAGACGAGAGAAAGAAAAAGAGGGACTTATAGTGGGGAAATCGGATGAGGGGGGCGGAGTCAGAGAGGACAGAGGTTAGGGAGTCATAGCAACCGAATGAAAAAAGGCTGCTGTTCAGGATGGATGGATGGATGGATGGGATGAAAGGGTCTGTGAATGAGAGGAGAAAGACCTGAATAGTAAGTGAGAGGCTTGAAAAAGGGGGAAGTGAGGACAGACGTAACTGAAGTGACACCCAATCTACTGTTGAGGAGAGGAAGCCGTCTGGTCCACAACAGAGAGACTCGAGTGTGCGGGAACCCCTCTCTGACAGATGGCCATAGAGACGACCACAAATCATTAGGACAGGACCTTAAATCTTCACTTTAGATCCTTGACATCTTAAATACTGAGTACAGAATCTTGATTCTTGAGTTTCGAACCTTGAATTTACAATCTTAATTACTGAGCAGGAAATCTACAGTAGAATCATGAGTTTAGAATCTTGAATCTTGAGTGTAGAACCTGCCATTTAGAATTTAGAACCTTGAATTGTAAATACTGAGTTTAGACAATTGAATCTTGAACTTACAATCTTGAACTTTTAAGTTAAAACCCTCATCTTGAGTTTAAAATCTTGATTCTTCAGTTTAAAACCTCAAATCTTGAGTGTAGAACCTTCAATTTGGAATACTGAGTTTAGAGACTTGAATCTTGAATTTACAATCTTGAGCTTTAAACCTTGAATCTTGAGTTTAGAATCTTAAATCTTGAGTGTGAACCATAATTTAGAATTTAGAATGCTGAATGAATTTAGACACTTGTTTAAATTCTTTTAAACTAGTTTAGACACTTGAATATTGAATTTACAATCATGAGTTTAAAACATTAATCTTGAGTTTAGAATCTTCGATTTTAAGTACTGATTGTAGAATCTTTACTCTTCAGTTTAGAATCTTGAATCTTGAGTACAGAACCTTGAATTTGGAATTGTGAATACTGTGTTTAGACATTTGAATCTTGAATTTACAAACTTTAGTTCAAAACCTGTAATCTTGAGTTTAGATTTAGATTTAGTCATCTTGATTTTGGGTTTAGAATAATCAATACTGAGTTTAGATACTTGAATCTTGAGTTTACGCTATTGAATCTTGAGTTTAAAATCTTGAGTTTTAGAATCTTAAACCTTGAGTGTAGAACCTTAAATTTAGAATTTAGAATACTGGGTTTAGACACTTGAATATTGAATTTACAGTCCTGAGTTTAAAACATTAATCTTGAGTTTAGAATCTTCGATTTTAAATACTGAATGCAGAATCTTTAGATTATTTACAATCTTTGGAGTCTTTAGATTATTTAGATCTTTATAGAACCTTGAATGTGGAATTGTGAATAGACACTTGAATCTTACATTTACGAACTTGAGTTTAAAACCTGAATACTGATTTTGGATTTAGAATCATCAATACTGAGTTTAGACACTTGAATCTTGAGTTTTAGAATCTTAAATCTTGAGTGTAGAACCTTAAATTTAGAATTAAGAATACTGGGTTTAGACACTTGAATCTTGAGTTTTAGAATCTTAAATCTTGAGTGTAGAACCTTAAATTTAGAATTAAGAATACTGGGTTTAGACACTTGAATCTTGAGTTTTAGAATCTTAAATCTTGAGTGTAGAACCTTAAATTTAGAATTAAGAATACTGGGTTTAGACACTTGAATATTGAATTTACAGTCCTAAGTTTAAAACATGAATCTTGAGTTTAGAATCCTCGATTTTAAATACTGAATGTAGAATCTTTAGATTCTTTAGAATCTTTGGAGTCTTTAGATTCTTTAGATCTTTATAGAACCTTGAATTTGGAATTGTGAATAGACACTTGAATCTTAAATTTACAAACTTGAGTTCAAAACCTGAATCCTGATTTTGGATTTAGAATCATCAATACTGAGTTTAAAACCTTGAATCTTGAGTTTAGAATCTTAAATCTTGAGTGTGAACCATAATTTAGAATTTAGAATGCTGAATGAATTTAGACACTTGTTTAAATTCTTTTAAACTAGTTTAGACACTTGAATATTGAATTTACAATCATGAGTTTAAAACATTAATCTTGAGTTTAGAATCTTCGATTTTAAGTACTGATTGTAGAATCTTTACTCTTCAGTTTAGAATCTTGAATCTTGAGTACAGAACCTTGAATTTGGAATTGTGAATACTGTGTTTAGACATTTGAATCTTGAATTTACAAACTTGAGTTCAAAACCTGTAATCTTGAGTTTAGATTTAGATTTAGTAATCTTGATTTTGGGTTTAGAATAATCAATGCTGAGTTTAGATACTTGAATCTTGAGTTTACGCTATTGAATCTTGAGTTTAAAATCTTGAGTTTTAGAATCTTAAATCTTGAGTGTAGAACCTTAAATTTAGAATTTAGAATACTGGGTTTAGACACTTGAATATTGAATTTACAGTCCTAGGTTTAAAACATGAATCTTGAGTTTAGAATCCTCGATTTTAAATACTGAATGCAGAATCTTTAGATTATTTACAATCTTTGGAGCCTTTAGATTCTTTAGATCTTTATAGAACCTTGAATTTGGAATTGTGAATAGACACTTGAATCTTAAATTGGCCAATCACAATGCACTGGGTCAGCTGGCCAATCAGAGCAGACTGCGCTTGTCGGAAGGAGGGACTTTGTAGAAAACGAAGCGTTTGAGAGAGGCGGGGCATAGAGGACCTACAATAATGTACAGTATTTGAAAAATAATGTGTTTTTTGAACATTAAAGCATGTCAGCATATTCTGTTACACCAAATACTCAAAATAATGATCTTTAAAAAAGCATCATATGACCCCTTTAAATTTAGAATTTAGAATACTGGTTTTAGACACTTGAATATTGAATTTACAATCCTAAGTTTAAAACATGAATCTTGAGTTTAGAATCTTCGATTTTAAATACTGAATGTAGAATCTTTAGATTCTTTCGAATATTTGGAGTCTTTAGATTCTTTAGATCTTTATAGAACCTTGAATTTGGAATTGTGAATAGACACTTGAATCCTAAATTTACAAACTTGAGTTCAAAACCTGAATCCTGATTTTGGATTTAGAATCATCAATACTGAGTTTAGACACTTGAATCTTGAGTTTATGATTTTGAATCTTGAATTAACAATCTTGAGTTTTGAACCTTGAATCTTGAGTTTAGAATCTTGAATCTTGAGTGTAGAACCTTAAATTTAGAATTTAGAATGCTGAATGAATACCGGGTTTAGATACTTGAATATTGATTTTACAATCCTGAATTTAAAACATTATTCTTGAGTTTAGAATCTTTGATTTTAAGTACTGAGTGTAGAATCTTTACTCTTCAGTTTAGAATCTTGAATCTTGAGTATAGAACCTTGAATTTGGAATTGTGAATACTTTGTTTAGACACTTGAATCTTGAATTTACAAACTTGAGTTCAAAACCTGTAATCTTGAGTTTAGATTTAGATTTAGTAATCTTGATTTCGGGTTTAGAATAATCAATACTGAGTTTAGACACTTGAATATTG